AGGACTTAATATTTTTAAGCTAATCCCCCTAGTATGTCACCGTCCCATACCGGTGCATACAAAACATCCATCCAGAATTGATAATATATATGACAGCATAACATATCAACATCAACATATCCAATCATAAGCATAACAAGAATGTTTAACTAGCAGGCTTGCTCAACACATCCAGTACCTGATTCTCCAACAAATTTTAAATGCAGAGAATAAATATAACCATCCTGTAACTCACCATAAGCATAATAATAACATTAACAGAATTTACATGCTTACTTGTAATTACTCCTCAACATCCCACAAGTTGGCATAAATAATTTTTGGTAATCATCAACCAGTTCCTTATTAAGTATTAACTTCATTTATATTAGTTAATAGGCTTAATCCCATACCACTGATATATGATTTACATATCAAACTCCTAATTCAATTGCTAATTTAAAATTAATCAACTTGAATCATCTATAAAATTTCAACCATGTAAACTTCCTTAAAAGTATCTTGCTGACACTTATAAATAAATATAATCATTCCGTAATCCAATAAACTTAAATTAAATTACAGGAACATGATTTAACAGTATTACCATTCCCAGATAAATTGCAACTCATAGGGTTATGCACTTAAAATCCTCTGCCTCCAAAAACAGTCCACAAGTTCACCTGAAACTATAGCGGTTTAAATCTACCGATTTCTTTGTAATTTATTATGTATCATCACACCCACAGGATTTCTAATAGGACTTAGATGCTACTAAAACATCCCTGCATAGCTCCTAATAGCATCTGAAAACACCAAATTCTGAAACCCGTAGCCAAAACCATCACTGAAAAGGCGAAAAACTGAAACCTGTTGAAGGAGCCGGCTCCACACAAAGTGGAGCCGCCTCCATTCTATGATAGAGCCGGCTCCATCCTTAGATTGAGCCTGCTCAATCTTTTAATGGAGCCTGCTCTATTCCTCCTTCCCCTGTGCGTCTTCTCTCCAGTTCCGGCGGTGTCCGACTTCTGTATTCCTCCAACTAAGTTCATTACTGATTAAAACTAAGTCTTAAGGAGTTCCAAAGTTAATTAAATTCATAACTTATTAACTAAATCATATGGAACAAGAATTACACAAAACAACTTATAAGTGGATTAAAATCCATACAAGAACACATACTGTTTCAGGTATCTAGCCCTGCGTCCCAGATTAATTTTAAGATTTCCCACTATGTTTTAGAACTATTAAAATTCTTAATCCATCAATTGACATCATTAAAATCATGAATTAAGTAAAACAAAACAGTAAAACAAACAATACTGTAAAACAAACAATTTAACAGATCATAAACATATGTTTATTAAACAATGCAAGTATGCGAACCAGATTTGTTTTAATCCTTATTTCATCTTGAGATTGTGTTAGGGATGCAGAGAACACAGGTCAAAGAGGTAGAGCTAGTTATAAAACTTGCCCGTGAGACTCGGTTCAGAAATCTCAGCGTTTTTCTTCTAAGTTTTCCCAGCGCCCCTTTGGTTTTCCTCCTCTCTGTTTCTTCTGTCTCCACAACGTGGTTAGGGTTCTAAACCCTTGACAGCCTTATACAGATATATTTATAGGTTTATAAGTTTACACAAAACCCTAGCTTAATTTAAACCCTAAACTAAATCCTTAGTCGGCCCATATGAAACCTAATTAATGCTTAATTATGTCGGCTACGTGACTTCTAAAACCAAAACCCTTAATTAATCCTACTAACATAAAACTTTATTTATAGAAAATCCATTTATATTAAATTAAATCATTTAACAATTAATTCAATTTCAAGAAAAATAATTAATTCTATTTAAAGAAAACAATTACATCCAATAATTAAAACCCAATTAAATAAAATAATCAAACAAAAACAAGTCATTTAAATAATTCATAATGAAATCAACAAATTCACAACTAAATCAATAAAACACAATTTAAATAATTAAATAAATTCCAGAATTATCCTTGTTAAATTAGGGGTATTACATTCACCCCTACTTAATCACCGTAGCTTTTTCAATGACCCAAGTCCATTTTACCATTTAAACTAATTGTAATTTCATTTCACATCATTTTCCTTCTATTCACGCTAATTACGCTAATGAGAAGATCAAAGAATTGCCGCACACGAACACTATAATCTTGCGAAATTAAACAAACAACAAGAACACACATATTTTTACTTGGTTCACTCAAAATTTAGGATTACGTTTAAGGGTTTTAGGGATATCACTATGATGATCTAAACAATGCCAGGGTTCAGAATAAATAAATACATTCGCACTAGGGCAACATAATAAGTACAGAAATTATCAAAATACCTCCCAAAAATTCCTGAAATTTGGCCTTAGTGTACTATATCAATCAAGCTCCACATTAGCTCCACCAAACAACAACTTGAGGTTCTCTACTCCTCCTCTCTTGTAACATTAGGTTCCACACTCGCAATCTTGTTTTTCACGAGCTCACCAAGCATATAATGGTTGATTGCCATTTTATTCGTGATTTGTTGGTGCGGAAACAAATTGTTACGCCCTATAGTTGTTTTGACGATTAGTTTGGTGATATATTTACGAAGCCTTTAGGTTGTAGTGCATTTCAACTACTGTGTTTCAAGCCCTATGGCTCCGTTTGGATTGAGGGATTCAGAGGGATTTGGAGAGAAAAGAAAGAGAATGATAGTGACTTGTCTGTTTGGATTAAAAGAATATGAGAGAAAAGAAAGGATTCAGAAGGATTTGGAGGGATTTGGAGGGATTGCAATCCCTCCAAATCCCTCATATTGTATCCCGCCAAAATTGACAAAATTTGGAGGAATTTGAAGGGAAAGGAAGACAATGACAGAAGTAGCCTTGTATATTGTAGTTTGCAGTTGCAGAGAGAGAGAGAGAGAGGGCAAGTTCAGAGTTGAGAACGAGAATAGAGGGATGGAGGCGATTGGGGAGGCTGAAATGATTTGCTTTCTTTATATATATATATACCCTAATTTGACAGATAGACATACTGAAATATATGGGTTTTGAACTTCTGATTCTTGTAGATTTTGTAGTTTGCAGTTGGAGAGAGGGAGAGGCCAGGTTCAAAGTTGAGAACGAGAATAGAGATGGAGGCGATTAGGGAGGCTGAAATGATTTGCCCTAAATATATATATATATATATGTGTGTGTGTGTGTGTGTGTGTGTATTTCTGGTGGCTATTAATTACAGCGGGGTTAGTTAATTTAGAAAAAAAAAAAAAAAAAAAATTAAAACAAAACCCCATTACATTCAAGATAGCAGTTGCAGAGAGAGAGGGGGGGGGGGGGGGGGTGATAGAAATGGAGGCATTGCGGAGGCTGAAATGATTTGCCCTAAATATATATATATATATATAGGCCATCATTCATGGGCTTATAAATTACAGACCTTGGTTAGTTGATTTAGAAAGAAAAAAAATTAAAACAAAACCCATTACATACAAGTTAGCAGTTGCAGAGAGAGAGAGAGAGAGAGAGAGAGAGAGAGAGGGGTGGGGAGAGTAACAAGAACAGAGATGGAGGCATTGGGGTGGCTAAAATGATTTCCCCTACTAACCCCACAAAAAAAGGGTAAAACAGTAATTTTAATTATTATTTTCTTTTATTTTCTCTCCCCTTTGTTATCCAAACAAGAATATTACCCATTCCTTTTTTTTTTCTCCTATCTATCCAAATATGAATATAAATTATAGCTTTCATTTTCTTTCATTTCCTTTCTTTTCTTTTCTTTTCTCTTATAATTCTTTCCTTTCTTTTCTCTCCTGTGTATCCAAACGAAGCCTACATGTTCAATCTGTGTGCTCCAACTTGAGGAGGGTGTTAGAGAGTTGGGTTATTAGGCCTTATTGTATTAAAGGCAGTTTTATTTTCTTGCTATTTATATATAATTTTAGAGTGATGTAGAATCTGTCGTAGGTTTTATTCTACCCTACGAGAATAATGTTTCTCCTCTTCTCTCCCTTTTCTTCTCTTTTTATTTACTCACAAACCCTATAACACAATCTCACAAATTTCAACTTAATCTTGATTCATTTATATTGTGTAAAGAGTTTGAAGATGATAGAGATCTGAAATTTATTTAAGTTCAATGGTGATTTCCCCAGGTAGATGGTACCTCTGTGTATATGTATATATTCACGGCCCTATGTAAAATATTACATTACTAATTAAAGGAGTGCTAAGGGCAGTTCTATTTGTTGCATATGATGTATATATCAATCAATGAAAAAACAAACCCACAATGAAAATGATTCATCCAAGTAATTGCCTACAGTTCAAGTTCTAAAGTTTGACCAATGGCCAATAATCTAGCGGTATCAGCCTCTTATCTCTCAAAGAGAGGTCACGAGTTCAAGTCTCAGAAGAAATATATGTATCTAAGTATCAACGAGAAAAAAATAATAATAAATAAATAAATAAAATTAAAAAAAAAAAAATTTTCCTAAAGTGTGCAAGTCAAATGAAAAGTCCATTTGAACTCCGAAATAGGCTCTCATGATGCCACCCACATGTCGGGATGAAATAGGCAAAGAGCGGCGAGGTCCATTGAAAGTGGAGGGCTAATTTGCTCAACTCTTGGGGCTTCGGTCCAGTTCTCGGTTTCGACTTCGCAAGGTTAATTTATTGAATTGAAAGGACGTTCGAATCCACATGCAACAATTAGATGGGCAACAATAAATAACAAGTAAACTTTGGGATGGTCAAATATCAATTTCTTTTTAAACAGTTTTTTAGATTTAATTTGACCAAATGTACATGTTCATTGACAATTTATGTTATCAATCCACACCCAGTTAACTTTAAACATGTCCAATAGACAATATTAAAACAATTTATGTACCTTTAACCCCAATCATTCACAAATGTTTAGCCGATTTGACCCAGATGTCAACACTTTGAAATATAAATAACATGATTAATTTTTTTGTTCAATGGTAAAATTCTAGTGTAATGTACTTATGAGGATTTTTGAATTTTTTTTTTTTTTTTTTTTTTTTCAATAAGTAAAATTGTATTAGAAGGCGTTCAAAAAGGAACGCGTCCCAAGAACAGTACACACTTCTGAGGATAGTTTAAGCACATGTCAGGCATAGAAGACAAACAAGTATGAGAGTCCGTCTCACATTCACGAACTATTAGAGAAAACAAAACAGTCTAAACCTTGGTGACAAAATACCAATGAAACATCAATTGCCACTGATAGTGTTACTAAAACCACTGGAAACACAACTAAATTCTGGCTCACATTCAAGAACTATTAGAGAAAACAAAACAGTCTAAACCATGGTGACAAAATACCAAGGAAACATCAATTGCCACTCACAGTATTACTAAAATCACTGGAAACACAACTAAATTCTGGCTCACATTCAAGAACTATTAGAGAAAACAAAACAGTCTAAACCATGGTGAAAAAATACCAAGGAAACATCAATTACCATGATAGTGTTACTAAAATCACTGGAAACACAACTAAATTCTGGTTTACATTCAAGAACTATTAGAGAAAACAAAACAGTCTAAGCCATGGTGACAAAATACCAAGGAAACATCAATTACCACTGATAGTGTTACTAAAATCACTGAAAACACAACTAAATTCTGGCTAAGTCATGTTATATCACTGTACCTGAGCATATTAAGATTAGAAGCTACATTATCGGATAATCAAACACTTCGATCGAAACCTGGCGTAAGGCAGAGAGAAAGCCTGGAAATATGTGCCCCAACTCCATGGCTACATCTTCTTCAAGATATATCTAATTGAGACAACACAAAAAGTAAAATGGCATACCAGTTCCTTAAATTTCTTTGCATGGTCACAACCATGATGGGTTGTATTATCAACAAAACGAACCAAATCAGACATACAAGATTTGTATTGGTTTACACTTCCAGCCTCATTTTCTTGATACTGTAGAACCTCATGAGGAACACACTCTTGTCGCTTTTTATGAGCCATGCGAACCTTATCTATCCAATTTGCCTTTCCCCATGGATTGATCAACTTTTGATTGATTTTCTGGTCAGTGTTAAAAGTATAATCCATGTGATGATATCCCAAATGATGGCAGAGAGCCACAAAGTATTGAAATCTCTCTTTCTCATTCAATAACAAAGGGTGTTTCAATAGCGGGATGCTCTGTAAAATTAACATGACCAATTACTACTAACTTGAAGCAATAAATGAATCTAAGATTGAAAAAACTAGTATATACTAAGAGAAATAAATGAAAAACTTCGAGCAATAAAAGAATGTAAGGGCAATAATTGAATAGATTAAAAGAAATGTTAATATAAAATTCAAAGAACATACTTAGAGGTCTTGTAATTGTAGAATGGATTCCAATCGTGAGGCCTAGACGGATGATTGTTTAGGCCAATATGACGGAATATGAACTTTTTGAATTTTCCAAGGTCTTCCGTTTTGTTCTGCCTTCATTTCATCCATAGAAGGAATGATGAGATGCATCTTTCCTCCCCGCATAACATATGAGCCATCATGTAGAACATTTCCATGGGCTCTACCCATTTTGCATAGATACCCTATTGCATCTAGAATGTTTATGGAATTGATAATAAAAAATTGTATTATTATAATATACTACTCAAATAAAGAAAGGAGTTTTTTGAAATAAAAAAATATTCTTATCTCATAATCGATTCAATCCAGAACTCCTTGAATTCATAGTCGCCGAATGTGTTTACAAAAAAAGGCTGACTCTCAGCTTCTATGTTGTTTCCAAGCTTCAACCACTCAACAAAATAGGAATCAAATCCTTCATGACTAATCACAATCACTTCTTGGTTGAAGTCCACACCAACATCAGTCTGTCTCAACAGATATGGAGTTCTGAATTCCTTCAACATCAGTATTGAATCAATGGCCACTCTCTCATATCTTCATTTTCTGCGCAAACACCAAAATCGAGCATCTTCTTTCATTCGTCCATGTTTTACTATTACTCCCTTCCACAGTTTTCCCACCCAGGCTTCTTTGCATTCAAATTCAAAATAATAGCTCCTCACACCAGATCTGTAACCTTCTAGTATTGATTCTTTATCCTAAAAATTTCAGCATTATAACAATTAGAACTAAATTTGAATTACAAATTGAAATAACATTAGGCTAGAACTTGAATTATACCTTAGCTTTTCCGACCGAGTCTTAGCCTGTTCTCTCATCTTTATATATGAACGGTCTATTTGGTAATCTTCAAGATCAGGTAAACAATCATACTATTAAAAAATAAAAAATAAAAATAAAATCCTCTAATTGATCACAAATCACAAATCACAGAAGTCAGTAACAATAACACAGAATAACATAATTGCAACCCCTTAAGTAACTAAACAGTGTATGTATATCAGGGTGGAACCCAAAATCACCACTGATTTTGCATTGTTCCTTCATACAATATACATTCACTTGGGTTGCATAATTAATCTCATCAAAATATAACATAAACAAAAAAAAAAATTATCTTTTAACAGTAATCACTAAGGTTACAGAAGTGAAACAATAAGAAAGTAATTAACATTTGATGAAACCCCCAATCTGCAACCAATTTAATGAAACAAGAACAATTTAAAGAAAACCCCCAAACCCCCAATTATGAACCGAAATTATCTACCATGCAAATCACGACACAAACCAGCCAAATGATAAACCCTAACCCCCAAAAAAGAAATGTAACCCTACCGATATATAATATGGTCAAGATTACTTACAAATTGATGACGATCAGCAAACAAGCACAACACAAACCCTAGTTTCTGCAGAAGAAATTGCTGTGATTCAGACTTTCTTGTGATTCAGACCGACCAGGACTTGCCCTAACCTTTTTTTTTTTTTTTCATCCCCTATCGGCCTCAAAATTTGAGGCCCTCAATACCCAAACCAAGACTTGCCCTAACTTAAATTTTTTTATTTTTTTCATATATAAATGTAACTAATGTATCACGTCATAATATTACATTAAAATATTAACGGGTCAGTTACTTAGCGATATCAACCTTTTATTTATCAAGAAATTAAGATTTAAGTTTCAAAATAGACATTTATACGTGAATACTAACTAAAAAAAATAATAACATTATAATAAAATATAATAATAATTTTATTATAATAAAAATACTTAGAGCTATATTTATATTTAGGAATGAATTAAAAATAAAATAAAATAAACAAAATTGTTTTGACCTTAACTTCATGTTTAGAAAAGAGTTAGAAATATAATAAAATAAAAAAAAGTAAAGTTGTTTTAACATTAAAGAATTCTGAGCATAATATAATTTAGGATCAAATATTCTTACACACCCCCCCTCAAAAGGAGGTCAGACGAAACTTACATATTTTTTTTTATAAAGGCACTCCCCCGCTAAAAAGACGAAATTACTCTTAATATTAAATTCAAATTTATTATAAAATATCAAACATATTAAAAGGACACAATTACCCCCAAAAAAACCCAAATTCTCTCACAAGTCTCATCTCTCTGACACCTCTCTCTCTCCTCCTCCTACGCCGCCTCTGTGTGTAAAGTCCTTTTTCATTATATATATGTACCAAAGTGTTTGATAATTATAAAAGGCAGTAATTTCGTGAAGAAGACGAAGTCGAGAACTGGCAATCTGAAAAAGCCAAAGTAACCGATCTCGCCGGGCGGGATTGTGAGTTTCCTCAACTCTCTCTTCACCGCCGGAAACTCATAGAAGGCGAATCCTTCGCCGGAGACTACTATGCGAAACAATTAGACGGTGGATTTTGCGGCGGATCGAAGACAAGCAGATCGGCGACGGATCGAAGATGCCGTCGATGAAGAAGACAAGCAAATCGACGGTGAAGTGTTGTAAAGTCCTCCCGATCCAGGGGTAGGCGCCAGAGTTAGAGATGGTCCGGGAGCCATCGCGTCTAATATAGGCAGAACCAGAGCTGAGCCGGAGCTATGCCATCACGTCTACTATCTGAACGGCAGCAGTGCCGCTCCGGCGGCAAGAACAGATTCGGAATTTGGGGGGGAGTATGGCCGAAGGCCGGAACCGGAAGGACCAGGATACTGCTCTTGGCATGCCCGAAGGTCTGAGTTTGAGCAACCCAATTCGAAGTATGGATCTGAGTATGGTCTAGCACTGTCTGGTCCACCGTATGTCCATTGAGAGAGGAGACTGTCGATATTTTTAAATTTTTTTTTTTTACTTTTTTTTTATGCATAAATTCGTGAGGGTAAATTGGTTCAATTTTTTAAATTGCAAAGTTAAACAGTCCCCTAAACGGTCAAATGGTAATTTGATCAATTTCTCATGTAAAGATTGTCTTTGTTCACTTTTGAACTTTCAAGAGATGTCTTTATCCAAAAAAACAGATAAGTTTCATCTAAGTGTCATTTTGACAAACTTCACAAGGTGTTAATGTACTTTACCCTATAATTTATTTTAATTGATAATTTATAGGATTTATTTTAATTGGTGCCTTATTTTATTATTTGGTAAATTATTTTATTATATTATCTATAAATGATTTGAATCATAACTTGTTTTAGTTGTTCTAATAGTTTTATATAAATTTTTTTATTTTAATTCCTTTTATTTATTTTTTTTTTTTTATTTTAATCAATTATATTAGATATAAAATAAAATAGAAACAGTAAAGTTGTTTTAACCTTTAAAGAATTTCAAGCATAATAGTATTTTTTTTAATTGGTAATTAAGAGGATTTATTTTAATTGTTAACTTATTTTATTATTTGGTAAATTATTTGATAATTTATTTTATTATTTGGCAACTTATTTTATTAAATAATTACTTATTTTATTTTTATAGGTAACTTGTTTTAATTGTTGTAAAATTTTATAAAAACTTTTATTTTAATTCATTTGATTTATAGAAACTCTTTTATTTTAATTCATTTCATATCAATTAATAAATATTTTTGTATATTAATAAATAAATACTAAAATAATGAAAATTTTTACACTTTTAATAATACTAGGAAAAGGCACGTGCAATGCACATGTTGAATGTCTTGTAACTTATACTAATTATGTATTAGATTGAAATTGATATAAAAATTTATCATATAGAGTTTGTGAGTTTTTGGAAGACCCTAGGTTATATTTTATTTTGTTTAAATATATCATTATCTAATGTGATAGACTTTTATATAAAATAAAATAGGTAATTTGTGGTAGAGTTATTTTAGTTTATTTAAATATATCCTTATTTAATTAGATTTTCTTTTATTAAAAAACTCATAATAAATAGATAAATACACGTTATATGTGATAAAGTTTTAAAGAGAATAAAATAGCTAATTTGTGGCGGAGTTTTATCATACCTTTCTCGGCCTTTTGGTTTTGAAACTTTTTAAAAAAAAAAAAAATTCATAATAAATAGATAAATAGGTAATTTAGGTTAAAGTTTAATAGAAATTCTTTTAAAAACTCTTTTTATATTAATTAATAAATATTTTTTTATATTAATAAATAAATACTGAAACACTGAAACTCTTTACACATTTAATAGTAGTATAGATATAGATATAAATATTCAGGAAAAAAAAAATAGATATAGATATAGATATATCGGTTATATGCGATAGAGTTTTATATAAAATAAAATAGGTAATTTATAGTAGAGTTTTATAGAAATTAATTTTCTTTAAATATTTCCTTATCAAATTAGGTTTCCGTTAATTGCTAACTTATAGGATTTATTTTAATTGTTAAATTATTTTATTATTTTATCTATATATGATTTGAAACATCCTGATTGAATTTGAATTAAACAATTACCTATTTAATTTGAATCGGTAATTTATTTAATAATTTGAAGCATCTTGATTGAATTTTAAAAAAATAATTTTCTATTTAAATTTAATTGGTAAGTTATTTCATTATTTGGTAAATTATTTTATCTATTTAATTTTAATTGGTAATATATTTAATAACTTGAAATTAACATCTTGATTGAATTCCAATTAAACAATTACCCATTTAATTTTAATTGATAATTTATTTTATTATTTGGTAAATTATTTTATTTTAAAAATTAACTTGTTTTAATAATGATTTGAAAAACCTATCAATTAAACTATTACCTATTTAATTTTAATTGATAATTTATTTAATGATTTGAAGCATCTTGATTGAATTTTAATTAAACAATTACCTATTTAATTTTAATTGATAATTTATTTTATTATTTTGTAAACTATTTTATTAAATAATTACCTATTTTATTTTAATTTGTAACCTGTTTTAGTTGTTTTAATAATGATTTGAAATATCTTGATTGAATTTTAACTAAATGTTAGCAATTAACGGAAACCTAATTTGGCAAGGAAATATTTAAAGAAAATTAATTTCTATAAAACTCTACCATAAATTACCTATTTAATTTGAATTGATAATTTATTTAACAATTTGAAGCATCTTGATTGAATTTAAAATAAATAATTTTCTATTTAAATTTAATTGGTAAGTTATTTCATTATTTGGTAAATTATTTTAGCTATTTAATTTTAATTGGTAATATATTTAATACTTTGAAATTAACATCTTGATTGAATTTGAATTAAACAATTACCCATTTAATTTTAATTGGTAATTTATTTTATTATTTGGTAAATAATTTTATTTTAAAAATTAACTTGTTTTAATAATGATTTGAAAAACATATCAATTAAACTATTACCTATTTAATTTTAATTGGTAATTTATTTAATGATTTGAAGCATCTTGATTGAATTTTAATTAAATAATTACCTATTTAATTTTAATTGATAATTTATTTTATTATTTTGTAAACTATTTTATTAAATAATTACCTATTTTATTTTAATTCGTAACCTGTTTTAGTTGTTTTAATAATGATTTAAAATATCTTGATTGAATTTTAATTAAACAATTACCTATTTAATTTAATTGTTAACCTATTTTATTATTTGGTAAATTATTTTTATTTTATCTATAAATAATTTGAAATATCTTGATTGAATTTCAATTAAACAATTTGGTAATTTATTTAATGATTTGAAACTAACAATTATTCAATTAAACAATTACCTATTTAATTTTAATTGATAATTTATTTAATGATTTTTATAGTTTTTTTATTTATTTATAAAAACTCTTTTTATATCCATTAATAATTTTTTTAAATTAATAAATATTTTATAAACTCTTTTTGTAAATGTACAAACAAATTTATAAGTATGTACGACAATACTTATTGTTGATATGGAGGGGAACCTGTAAAGTTATTAACAGGGATAATTATTCGATCTCCACTATGAAGTTTGTATATTCATAACAAACTGTAACACACAAGAGTATACATATGGTCCTTTCTTTTATATGTACAAGTTATTAAGAGTACAAGTTATTAAAAAGGATAATAATTCGATGTCCACTGTTCTAAATATTTTAAGCAAACATGAAGTTTGTATATTCAAAAGTCATGCAAAAAATACATAACAAACTATAAGACACAAAAGTATACATATATGTTTTGGATAAAGGTTGATTAGGACACAATAGTATATACCGTCTATATCCATATAATTATACAATTATATAAAACATCAAGCTTCTTTGTTGGTTGGATCCAATGACTATTGGAGCTTGATCTTGAATCGGACTGTTGACAATCGAGGGTTGAGGGCTGAAATGACGAAGCTTGATCTCGAATAATGTAGTTTGGTAATTCTTCAAACTTGTTGAATTTCTCAATTTCTTACCCCCTTGTAGGATGATGACATGTATCTTCTGATAATGACATAATTATATTGTGATAATTTTCAATATGTATATATATATTATATTTTGTGTTAGAGTTTTATAGAAACTCTTTTAATAAAAGTATAGATTTATTAGGTAAAGTATTTTTGTATTTTGAATTTTATTAGGTAATTTGTAATTTGAATTTTATTAGGTAATTTGAAAGT